ACACTCACACACACACACACACACACACACACACACACACACACACACACACACATGGACTCACACCCATCAGGAGCTTGAGCTCAGAGCTGGATCAACCAGAGCGGCTGGTTTAGCGTAACACGAGTCAAAAGTAATTAACCGGCTCTGTGTACTTTAATGAATCAAGCTCCTGCAATTCATTCCTTCAGTCCTTCAAACCGGGATGATGCTTAAACTGCATTTGATTAGCATCACATGACACACAACAGAGCCGTGTGATCACATAGGACGAATAAAAACATACACAACAACATCTGAGCTTCTAAAGCCCAGACGGCACAGATTAGATTAGATTAGATTAGATTAGATTAGAATAGGAAAGAAGGTGTGGAGGAGACGAGTGAAGACAAACCCGCTCACCAGCTTCAGTGTAACGCAGGCCCACCTTCTCCTCTCCGTCCTCTTTAGGTGGAGGCCAGACGGCCAGCAGACGGCCAGGGGTTCGGTCCTCACCGTCTGACGGAGACGTGACCTCAGACTGAGGAGAGACACACAGCGTGCAGGAATTAATCAACGTCTCAACCGAGAAAACCGAGGAAAACCAATGCACTGCATGAATACAGACACTCGATTTCACTTAGTTTTCAAACTTAGTACTTCATAACTAACTCAACTGAAGTTTATAAAGCATTTTAAAAACGACAACACTCACAAAATAACAAACGCAAGCAAAAAAACGAGTAAATAAAACTTGAATTGCCAGTTGGCCAAGAACAGCATGATTAAATCAAAGTGTAAGAGAAATAATCTCCACCAAAACACAAACATATTTGAAGGAAAATTCACACTCACAGACTGACATATATGTAATGCTCAGAGCTGGTTTTCACCGAAATGCGAGAAAATTAAAAGAGCAACACTTTGCATTAAGGTCTCTTTGGTTAAGGGTTTCGTGAACGCAAACTAACAATGAGCAATATATTAAAAAAGCAATGTTGTTAAACTTTGTAAATACATTGATTAAAATGAAGAATTAAAATATTGATTAAAATTTAATTATTTCAATGAATACTGTTAGTTTATAAAAAACACTGTTCACTGGTTGCTTGCGTTATTTCACAGTACATTAATTAATATTAACAGATACAACAGATAAAATGTTTTCTATGCCTTCATGAATGATCACGTTGATGGAGATGTAATAAATCATCTGTATGAGCATACATCTGCATAAAATAATTAAATGATAAATAATAAAAAATTAATTAATAGTATTTCTACTTTTACAGGGACAAAATGCACCATGTTCATTGCCTGTAAACAATAATATTAATTAAATAATTAAATAATTAATCAACCAATTTATTAATTCATTAAATTAATTATTTATTGCCAATAAATGTTTTCAGTTACATTTACTGACGTTTAGCAAAAACATTCATTTGGGCGCTTAAAATCAGAAAAATACAATAATAATAATAATAATAATAGATTTAGTAAATGTACTAGATCTAAATCTAGTATTATTCATGTTTGTTGATAATTAACATTTTTATAAGTCTAAATCTATTTTATTAACATTTGTTTGTACCCTTAAAATCAGATAAAAACAGAAAAAAACATAAATAATAACAATCAATCAATCAATAAATAGTACTTCTTTTTTTTATGGGGACGAAATGAACAATTTTCTTAAGCCTTCAAAAAATATTTGAAGAGTTTATTTGCAAAATCAGATAACTCAGTTTTTTTTAATTTTCAAAAATCATGTTTTTTATTATGTTTTATTGCGTTAGTTAGCTGCAATTTTTAACCTAATCAAAATAACCCAGCTGCAGTTTGATTGAGATTAATTGGAATGCACAATGAAAAAACATAATTTTTGAGAACTGTTAAAAACGGAGTTATCTGTTTTTGCAATTGAACTCTTCATTTATTGCCAGTATTTTTTGTCAAATAAATTCACTGACGTGTTAGCAACACACCCTGTGTGAAAACAGAAATAACTACTGCAGATATGATACTAGAAATGATTGACACTTCAATGAATAAGTATGTTAACAACATCATGTTTAATTAAGGAATGATGGCGTTGATTGCGGTGTCGTAAATCATCTGTAATACATACTTTCTCCTCTGTAGGACTCTTGGGGTCAGCGACTGGAGCTTTACTCAGCTGTCTCTCAAAGATAGACCTCAGCAGCTCTTTATCGCTCTTCTTCTTCCTCCTGACAGCGTCCAGATCCAGCGCTGCATCCACAGGATCCTTCTTAGCAGGTTTCGAGCTGAATAATTTGGATTTTAAAGCATCAAACGACGTATCCGTCACCGTTTTACCAGCGCTCGGATCTGCGGCGTCGGATTTGTCCTCGTTCTGTTTGACTTCGGCGCTCGACGCTTTCTGTAGCAAACCGGTGATTTCAGACAAACGTCTGGGTTCGTTTTTCTTTTTAGTCACTCCAGTGCTGGTGTTTTGTTGGAGTTTGGTTTTGTTGACGTGTTGTTTGAGGCTCAGCAGCGCTCGATCCGCATCTCGCTGTTTGATTTCTGAAAGCGTCTCCCTCTCGTCTCCGACTGCTCCTTTCTTTAACACTCGCAAACCGCTGAACAAAGCGGGCAGCTGGTGTCTGTCGCCGCTGCTTTTAGCCAAGCTGCTGTCCAGTTTGGAGTCTTTTGGAGGAGGAGAAAGAGCGTCTGGCATGCGCTCAGATCCCGAGAGCGTCTCTGAAAGACCTTTTGTCTCCGGCTGAAGATCTGAGGTGGGTAAAACCGAAGCTGGAATCTCAGCATCTCCTTTTTGGGAATCCGTCTGAGACGCCGGATCTGCTTCTTCTGATGAAGCATCCTCACCTGCTTTATCTGCTTCAGGTTTGTGAAGAGGAAGGACTCGTCTCCAGCTGCTGACGTCCGAGTCGCCCGTGAAACTTCTGTTTAGTATTTCTGATGCTGAGTCTACTCTGTGAATGCTCCAATGTGGCACGTCTTTCTTGGAGTCTTCCAAAATGCGGGATGAGAAATCCAGCGAGCGGTTGATTTTTCCGTACGAGCCGGTCCGGCTCAGAATCGAAGTGTCTTTAAGCGATCGCTCCACGAGACTCTCGGCTTTGACGACAAACGGCTCGAGTTTCTCCTCAGATCCGTCACGTTCCCTGTCAACGACAAGAAGACTTAAAGCGGGGTTTTTACACTCATACTTACTAAAATTCACTCTGCAAAAAGGATTTTTTTTTCTTGTTTTCCAGTACAAATATCTAAACATTTTTAAATCAATATATGTTACAAGATACATTATTTGTTTATTTATTTAATTTATTTATTTATTGAAGAAACAAGCATTAAAATGAAGTGAGTTTTTGCTTAAAACAAGAAAAAATATTGGTCAGAGGGGTATAATCTATAAATAATCTTGTTTCCTCTTCGAATTAAACCTAATTATTGTGTGGAATTTTCTTTTTCCCAAAAATGCTAGTTAATAAAGTATTGGACTAAACCTTACTGACTTTGCTCATACAGGGTAAAACAACTTCCCAAAAATTTGAATTTATTTTATTTAATTTTTTGGTTACACTTTTGGTATTGCTGATCAAAAATTAAAAGCAAAAATTACCCCACAAAAATTGCTTATTATTATTACTTTTTTTCCCATTATGCTATATTATTTCCAAATTATTTTTCTTTCAATAAGCACAGGTTTTCTATTTCTTTTTAGAACTGATGGATCATAGGCAAAAACATAACATAGGTGCATAAACTCATATCAATGAGGCCTACGATCAACCAGCTCCAAAAAGAAACACAAAACCTGTGCTAACTGAAAGAAAACAAATTGAACCCAAGATCTGCTGATAATAACAAGCGTAACATAACAAGCGATTTACAAGCAACTTTTAAAAGGCCATTAGGCACCAAATTAGGCAAAGTATTTTCAGCACAGTTTGTTTCTTAAGATATTTTTTCTGGTTTTAAGCAAAAACTCACTTAATTTTGGTACATTCTTTCAGAAAACATCATAGGTGGCGTTTACACGACACCATTTTCAACTAAAAACAATGTACTTTACGTGCATTTTAATCATTCGTTTTCACAGCCAAAGTGTTTTAAATGTAAACTTTTGAAAACATGCACATTTTTTTCCTGCTATCATCTTCATGTAGACTACAAAAAAGCTAATTCATGCGTGTGCGTATTACGTGTTTGCATAGTGTTTCCTTACAAAGATATGACTGGCCTGACATGAATAATACAGTTTTTAAGTCGTTTTTGCGGATCAATGTGAACGGGGAATTTTTTATTGTATGTATGCGCAAAGCGCAAAAGAAAAATGTTCTGTTTTTACTACACCGCTGTCATATAAAAGTACACTTATATAAATAATATCTTTGTAGAACTGCCTATCGCTGGTTAATTAACACTGTTATTGATCTGAACTGACTTGAGCTAAATAATAACACTATTGTCTAGAATCTGAACTGTCTCCATAGTTGAGTTTCCATAATTGATTTAGCTATTTCTGTGAAGCTGCTTTGACGCAATCTGTACTGTACAGAAATAAAGGTGACGTTTTATTTAGAGGTCAACCGATGTATCAGTTTTGCCGATTAATCGGGATTATCGGTAAAAACCCATGCTGATGGTTTTTACGGGTTGTGTCTGTTGCTGGAGCGGCTGAAACTCTGCAGTCATTATGCGGATTTAAAACATCGACAATGAACTATAGTGCTATAGTATACTATAGTGCATGTTTTCATATCATTACTAAGTGATTAATTTGTTGACTAGTTGCTGCATTAGTGGAGAAAAAACAGCAGACGCACACATTAGCAGCACCTCAAGTGGCTAAAACAATGTGACCAAAACACACGCAAGTCCGACCGAAATATTTAATGTCACAATTACCATTTATTTGCATTAGTTTATATCCATCTGGTCACATTAAAGCATTTGTTAGCCAGTGAAGTTGCATGTTTAAAACTAGTGACGTGAGAAAGCAAACTGATATGTTCATTCAGTCGACAGAAATCCTGCGCGCCGCAAAGCACCCTTCATATAGTTTTATATTAAATTACATCATATCTGTTCCAGATCGTTGTTAATGTACATAATGACTTCACCCTGGGCTGGAAGATTGTGTATTGTGCATTTTTCAGTGAAACCTTTGTCTTTCCGTGGCTCTAATAAAGTCTGTATGCTTCATATAGAGAGCTGTAATATATATCGCGCTTTCTCTTTCAGTTTGTTTTAAACACCAAACTTCAACCTATGCCGCTTTTTGATCATTCTTAAAGTAAACTTTTGCTCATTTGGTGATTAAATAAACTGTTTTAGACCGCCGCTTGAATTGAATGCGACGTGACGTGTGTGTGATACCTGTAAGTTTGTTATTTTGATTAGATAATCACAAGTGTTTTAGAATAAAAGCAGTTAAACTGTGAGAGTATACAATAACCATATGTATGTAATTTCAATACTATGGCCTTTGTGTAGATATTTAAAGATGTAACATTTAAAAAAATTTCAACATTCACCGATATTCACCAACATTTATGAACTGTGAACAATATATAATGAATATTAATATTTTATTCATTTACAAAGTATGGTCCAGTACTTTTTTTTGCAAAATATTTTAGTTTCTGTTTGGTATCGGTTGATTAATCGGTATCGGTATCTGTAAAATCCACTATCAGTCAACCTCTAATTTTACTTCAAGTAAATGTATCTTGATTCAAGAATATTCAGATATTTTTATTTATTTATTTTTTATTTAACCTTTATTTAACCAGGCAAATTAATTAAGAACAAGTTCTTATTTTCAATAACAGCCTGGCAGGAGAATTAATATCTCCTGAGAAAAATATAAACATATATTACAAAACATAAAACACATAAAAGAAAAATAAAGTCTCAGTTAAAAAATGTACAGGTCGAGGTCAGAGCACTTACTAGTAATTTTTTAAATGCACATACTGGAATATTTGTCTCTAATTTCAATAACTTTTGTAGCACCTTCCAATCATTTGGGGCAGCAAATTCAAAACCAGAATGACCATAAGTAGTTTTCTTTCTAGGGATAGTCAAGGAAATATAATTAGATGATCTAGTTGAATAAGTATTAGAATGAGGTTTCAGCAACTTTTGAAGATATTCAGGTAATAAGCCCAGTAGAACTTTATAAATAAAAATATACCAGCGGATTTCCCGTCTTGTATGCAATGATGTCCAATTCAAAAGGGAGTATCATTCACAATGATGCGTTCTGTAAGGTGCATTAGTAATCAATCTAATTGCTGCATGATATAATGCATCTAATTGCTCCAGAACACCTTTACGTATATTTCTATATATCACATCACCATAATCAAACAAGGGCAAAATAGTAGTTTCAACAAGATATTTCTTGGCTGACGTGGTAAACACAGATCTATTTCGGAACGAGAAACCAAGTCTAGATTTAACTTTCTTCTGGAGATTAGTTATGTGGGTAGTAAAAGTCAAGGAGCTATCAAGCCAGATTCCGAGATATTTATATGAGGATACTACCTCAATTATCGCCCCATCCGAATTTATGATGTCTTTATTATTTTGTTGTTTTTTTCCAAACCACATTACTTTTGTTTTTGTGCTATTTAAAACTAGATTCAGGTCACTAAAAGCCTCTTGAATATTATTAAAACTATCCTGTACCTGGTTTAAAACTTCATCATATGACGATCATCCGCATATAGGTGAATATAGGTTTTCTGACTACTGACAACCTGAGAAATATTATTAATGTAGATTGAAAACAGGGTTGATGCTAACACAGAGCCCTGAGGGACCCCTTCATTAATAGTTAATAGTTATACGTGAAAACAAGGAAAAAGTCATTTTTTGCAGTGTATCGGTTGCTCTGACCTTCCCTGAAGGCCTAAGGTGTCTTCCTCATCGTCGATGTACGTCTCCACTCTAGTCACCTGCACCAGATACGGATCGGAGGACGTCTGTGAAGACCGCTCTGCATCCTGAACAGGCGAATAATGGTGTCCAGGCTCCACGTTTTCCTCCAAACCATCTCCAGATTTCGGTCTCAAAGGATCTGCTACTCCAATATCACCATTAGCATCTTCATCAGGCAATGTTCGAAATGACGTCAACACAGCTGTCGTCTGATCGGACATGAGAAAACTTGAAGAGGTCCTAGTGTGGTTTGAATCCATATTGCTGTTTGCATTGAATGCTATGAGGTGAAATCCAATAGCTGCATAGTTAGTGTGGTTTTACTTCAACCTGCATGCGCTCTAGTTTCACAGACCGGAGAAAACAAAAGGGTTTTGTGCGTGAAAATCCCCGGCTCTCTCTCTCTCTCTCGCTCCAGCATTTGGAAACACTTCTGTTCCAGAAGTTTTACTGCAGTTCAGTGTGATTCTCAAATGGGAGAAACCAAACAGAGAGACTAAAGTGTCTCAGTAGTTCAGGCAGTGAAAGGAAACTTACAGAACTAACGGATACGAGCTCCAGATATTTCCCTTAAACATTCCCAAGGATTTTTTTCAGAGCACTTCCTGCTCCGGCGGAGTCTTGTGTTTCTCCTGGAGAAAGTTCAGCGTTGTCTTTGGAGAGGAAGGAGTCGCGCAGGTCTGATTACTTTTCTCTCTAACCACTCCCTCTGTCTCTGTTCAGTGGTGAACCTGGCAGATATTCACCTGCAAGTGTCTGGTTACTGAAAGCAGGAGCTGGAAGTGTAATGCAGAGATTCAGTGTCTCTCTCTCTCTCTCTCTGTAATCTCCTGCAGGGTCAGGTGGAGTGGGCGGAGCTTCACTATTACAACAGTGGTTATAATCAGCTCTGCTGAGATCACTGGCCACGCCTCTCTGTTGCTATAGCGCTGACCTGTAGTGCTTGAATACAGAATCAACCGAGGAGAAGGTCTGCAAACTTACTGTACTATCTCCAGCGGTGAGAGACTGGTTAAGCAATAAAATGTGCATAGAATACAAAAGTATGCATAGAATGCATACAGAATATAATAAAAATAAATAATATTTAAGATCTAAAAATCTATACGTATTTTAAATATTTCCATAATATTTATATAACATTAACGTAATCCATAAAATAATAAAAATAAAAAATACACAAAAGTAGTATCAGAATATAAATATACATGTTTATATAATAATTCTATAACATTAATTCTTTTTTATAATTTAATAATAATAAAAATACACATAACAGCGGTGAGAGACTGGTTATAGTTAATCAGAAATTAAAAAAGACTCATTGCAGATTAGAAAACCAGAGAGATCTTAAAATTGTGCAGGACACAACATAAATGTGCTATGAGAGGTTTTCATTAACACATTATAATAATAATACAAGTATAAATATTTATTTATATCATATTTAACCAATACGTATTTTAAATGTTTAAATAATATTTATAAAATACAAAGAGATGAAAAAATATAATTAGAAGTTAGAAAATAATTAAATATATTAGAAAAATTATAAAGGCAAAAAATGTATAAGTAAATCTGACTGATAAAATCATCATAGTTTTCTTTCTCATAAGCGTGTTTTAAACGTTCTCTTCGTGACGGATCTGAACCCAGAACAAGTTCACAGACCGTTTGCCTCATGTTTCAGGATGAAAGGAAGTTCTTTCCGAAGAAAAGAATGTCTTAATGAAACAACAACAACAGCATGTGCCAAAGTTCAGCCGAAACCCACGGTTCGGTTCAGATGAAACTAGTCCATCTACCGAAACCAGAATACAGAGCTGAGTTAGTTCTGCATGTGCAGTGGCCTACATCAGTGCACTGCATTATAAGCAGTCCGGGCCTCTTCTGAGCTCTTCTTATGCAAGAGAACCAGCGCTTATGAACTTACTGCTGCCTGTTTCTTGAGCCGTAAGAACAAGAAACACAACATAAACTAAAGATCCTCATCCAGAACTATCAAACTATATCTAAACTGAAAAAAAGTCATTTATGTAAAGTTCATTTTTATATCGGTCTAATAGAAAATAATCGTTTCAGTTTGTGTGTAAAAGCAAATAACACTTAAAAAGGAATTGAAGAAATAATTGTTTAAATAATATTTTCACTTGACACCAGAGTGCTAATGTGCAAAACATACATAGATATTAAGAAAAAGACATCACAATAAGTTATCTTTATTTAAAGCAAACTAAATTAAACACTGACAAACAAATGTTTTTATTTTTGAACTTATCTTCTAAGTGAATATTTATTAATATTTTTTATTATATATAAGAATATATAATACTTTCATGTTTCATATTTTTTATAATTTTAATAATTTGTATTTTTTGCTTTTATTGTTATTTTTATTTCTGATGTATGTTGTGATAAATATTTTTAATGTAAAGGACTTTGAATTACCATTGTGTATGAAATGTGCTATATAAATAAACGTGCCTTGCCTATTATAACCAATTTAGCTTTCTATGGTGAAATAAAGTTGAAAAAAGACAATAATATAATATAAAATAATATAATATAATATAATATAATATAATATAATATATAATATAAA